CGCATTCTGCCCCCTCCCTTTTTTAAGCAAGAATCAAAACCCAAAAATTTATACAAGAGTGAAATCCATACAGATTACACACCATCAGATATATTTTCACTTTAAGTAGATTCTGTAAACCAGAATTTAAATTCTGTTGATTTCTAAGAGAATGGGCTTTATAAACCATCATTAAATCCTCAGTTGAACTAAAAAGCAAAAAACCCTACCCAAAACTGGCATTTGATACACAGCATCCAGATACCCCTGGAGTGGGACCAGGTTAGGGCAGGTGAATGTGACTACATCTGTCAGACTGTTACAGAGTGAAGTCTCACGCAGACAGAAGTTCTTCAGCCTGTGTGGGTTGAAGAACAGCTACCCACAGGATATTTTGTGTAGGACGCAGCAGGCATCAGCTAAGCAATGAATCAGGGTGAGTCAGGGTCGTCATGGAATTGTGCTGAATGTACATTTTCTTGCTGTATCTCTGAGCTCTGCATACAGAGATGTACCCAGTACTGCAATTAGAAACAGCAGAATGGTTGATGGTGCTGAAAAAAGCTCTACAATATGATATTTTCTTTTAGAGGGGAAAAAAAAAAAATGTGTTCATTTCACCTTTTTACAAAAACAAAATATGACCCCTATCCCCACCTCCCCCCAAACCCAAACAACAACAAACCCACAACACCTCACAGTACAACTACAGCCACACAGCATGGATTCCTGGAAAGCACTAAGCCAGAAGAATCATGGCCATACCCAGATACAATTTTAGACCTCATCTACTAGATAGAAATGAAAATTGACTGTTTGAGAAGATCAAGTCTCACTGTATCTTCCCAAAGAAGACATTTTTTACAACAAGGGTGGTAAAACACTGGAGCAGGTTGCCACAGAGGTGGTGGATGCCCCATCCCTAGAAATATTCAAGGACAGGTTGGACCAGGTTCTGAGCAACCTCATCTAGTTGAAGATGCCCCTACCCATGGTGGGGGGTTGGGACTAGATGACCTTCAAAGATCCCTTCCAACTCAAACTATTCTATCTTGAAAAGTTTCAGCTTTAGCTTTCATTGCCACCAGAAAGGGGACTATGCTGTCAACATATGACAGTCCCTCATGAAGAAATCTTCCTTACTTTCAACCCTATAGGAAAAAAAAATATCAATAAAAATCTGCATTTGTCATTTTCCAAGTTAATGCAATATGGGGTCACACCAAAGAAAGGGAGGAGAAATCCTCCCAGTGGTCAGAATGACTGCCAGTTTTCGCCCCCAGCTTCTGCCTCACAGTTGCAGAGTAGCAATGGATCTAATCAACTTCTGAGAATAATCTTTGAAAGGCTAGCAGTCACCTCCTGATCCATTTCCTTAAATGCCAAGCACCATACCCAGAAATTTTCTTCTCTCATTTGGACTGAGATATCATTCACAATCCTTTTCAGATTACATACTGGTGGCAACAGAGACCATGTTGACTACGTGCAAGTTCAACAGAAGTTTGTAGCAAGCAAGACATTCTAGTTCCACATCACAGATGCATATTCAGTATATATCAGACAACAGAACTCTGTTGGGTGTCACAAGAAAATCCTTTCAAAGGACAAACAAAACTAACTCTTGTCAATTCAGAATTTCATAGTTACAAATACCATCACTGTACAGACCTGATGTCTTTTCTCTCCCATGTCCCTACCCTTCTGCTCCTTTTTTCTCCTCCATCCTCTTGCCTAAATAGTTCATCGCCTTTGAGAATTAGCTCTCTGAAGTACTAGACACATCTGACTTGTTTATTTGTTTCATAGAGCTGCTGGTACAATGTAGCTTCATTGTTGGTAAGGTTATTTCAGCTATACTCCAGCATAAAAGTAAGTATTACAGAGAAATGCAAAAAAGCCCTCAAGAATGGTAAATCCCAAATCCAACCCATATGGAGAAGAAGAAGAAAATTAAAACATTCATGTTCATTCACAAGTGACCCTCCACAGTAGTGGACGAAACTTTGCTTATATCTACAAGGAATGCTATCGGCTCCAGCAGACTTGCAAGAGATTCCCATGCTTGGTTCCTTAGCATTTTCCATCAATAATAATGTGTTTGCCTCCAAAACTGTACCCAACTGATAGCGACTGCAGAAACCACACTTACTCTGGAAGGAAGTATTTCCAAAAGAAATACTACTGTATTCAAACAGCACAGCCTCATCAGGTATCTTCTGTAAAACAATCTTTAGCAGTTGCTTCTATTCCATGCTGTCCACAGCAAAGGAAGTTCCCTTCTCCTGAAAAGTCTTATTACCTGGTCCAAGACAATACTAACCTAGGAAAGTGAGCAGACAAGGACAAATCAAGAGACTTCTGTCTCCTTTGCTAAAGAGCCTTAGACCTGGCAGTCTAGGCACTCTGGGGGCTGCCAGGGACTGGTAGCTGCTGCCACCGGGCGGCCCAGGGAAGAGGGACAGCCAGTGCTCCCGGCGCCTATGCCAGCCAGGCACAAAGCCAGAAAAGGCAGGCAGCACTCAAGGGCTGCAGCCCCCTCTTCTGAAGGGGCTCAGTGGCTGCGTCAGGCAGGAACTGACTTGTGCTGCTGCCTGTGCTAACCTTTCTGTAGGGGGTGGCATTGTTTAGAAAAAGCTGGGGAAAGGGATCTTCTGCGAAAAATAAATCACACAAGACAGTGTGTTTCTGTGTGAAAAGGGAAGGCTGCAGTGCGCCTGCTCAAGGAGACTGGAGGCTATGAAAATTCTTCAGAAGAGGGATTCTAGTCAACGCTGAAGCTATAAATTAACCAACTACTGATGCATACTTGATGCTTAGTATAATTAGCATCACTGAGGAAAAAGAAAGAAGTAGTGAGGGATAGCTTGAAATAGATCAAGCCAGAGGGAGAATAACTTAGCAGGGTCTGTAAACTAATAATTTAAGTCACAGAACAACAAATAACTCACCTAGGGAAAACTGTTTTGAGCTTATCATTTATCCCCTATAAGATGGAATCAAATATTAAAAGAAATTGTCCAGAACTGCAGGAAAAGGCAGGCATATATAGCACTGCCATTCTCAAGACACATAAAACTTGGATCTGCCAAAATACTCCCCGATTCTCACTGCAGTGGTTTCATTCGCACCTTCAGTCCACTTTGATTTCCTCACTTGAACAGGGTAAAAGAAGATTTCAGACTCCATTTGCACCATACTTCCTCTCCCCACCCCCCATTTTGACCTAATCTGAAAAACAATAGAAAAAACAGACTTCCATTTGCAAAGTGGTAAAAGGGTTGATATAAGGTGCTATAGTCTGACTGGTTTTGGAGTTGGAAAGAAATTTTCCTCCTTATTGTGTCAAGTTCTCAAAGGTTGATCATTGGCTTATCTTAGATAACCAGTTAAGTTCACAGATTTGGAACATGGAAATATTTTAGTAATTTGTGAGTAAATCATTAGCTTTAAAGACCATGCAGTACACTGCATGTTGACCTTAAATTAGTAAAAGAATTTGTAGTGAGGATATGAATCACTGGATGGTGACTTTAAGCCTACCAACAGTGAACTTCATGGTTCTTAAGTCCCATCTTTAAGGTCACAGTCCCCATGGACTGTGGTTGCCATGGACCACAGGCTTGACTAACTCCTGGTTTAGGTCACTGGTACATGGGGCTACTGACCAGAATATAGAGAAGATTTAAAATCCTGAGATTTTGCTGGTAGAGAGGCAGATGGAGATCTCCTTCTCACAGAAAGCAAACTAGAGATCTGCATTGAGAAAGGACACAGCTGCACATTACACCCTGCCGTGGGGCTTTATAACTTGTAACACTGGATCTACTGCAAATAACTGGTGGAGCAAATGGAGAGGAAATTACGTAATACTCAACACTGACTTCATAAATTCGAAATCTGGTTCTGAAGTCTCATTGTAGATTCATCAGACACTGGCACTATATGATCATTGTTGGAAATATTCATACCAGGAATTCAGGCTCATGTGCCAATCACTACATTATCTCACTGAGAAAAGATGATTTTAAACAAGAACATTTTAAATGGTCACAAGCATTGTTTCCATATATAGTATGAAAGATTAATTACCCATGTTCCATTCTTTTTATACCTTGGAAGAAAAAAATCCTTATTGTATTCAAAAATATTTGACTCATCCAGAAGTTTTCAAGCTAGTCAGCCTTAATAACATCCACATGACTTCTGCACATCTTGAGTTTTCACTTCAGAATAAAATGGAGCTAAATACTACACCAACTTTCATCCTTGCCCTCACCTCTCCTGCATTAATGCTAGACTACTGCTTTTTTATTGTAGTTCTATTGCATAAAATCAACATAAAGTTGGAATAATAAGGTTTCCCTGGCTCTTTTCCAAATCTTAACGTGGAAGAAAAGGTCAAATGTAGCTTTCAGAACAAATAATAAAGCTACCAGGAAAACCTATGTGGAGAGTGGGGAGGGGATTCACAGGAAAATATCAAGAGGAGCTCATCTGAAATCCAGGCCTCCAAGTACTCTCAAAGGTCATCTAGTCTATCCTTCTGGCACAAGATGATTACATTACATCAGTTCAGACAGTTACTTGTCCAACCTGTTTTTCAAGGCCTGAAATCATGAATCTCCACACTTTCCAGATGATGCATCACAATGCTTTAGTATTCATTTTAGGATTCCCCTTCCTGACATTTGATTACATCTTTGTTTCTGCAATTTTAGGAATTCACTCCATATCCATTCATTATGGATGGAGAAAATCTTGTTTTCCCCTCTTACTGCGTAAAACTTTAATTTTGTTGAACACTTGGACTCAATCTTTCTTCTCCACAGAGATGATCTGGTTTAGACCAGATTTGGTTTTTTCTTGGTCCTTTCTCTACCTTTCCAGGTCTCTGTGGAACTGTACAGCCTACACACAAAATGCTGTATACCAGCATTAAGTACATCGCTAGGACTTTGTGGGAACTCTCTTTGTACTAACACAACAAATAACATTTTCCACTTGTCCGAGTAACTCACCAAATACTTCATTATCCTCTGAAGACTGATGTGTTAGTACGGCTGCTTTCGGACTCTCTTTAGCTGCTTCCTCCACCTTGGTTTCAGCATTCTGTAAAATAAACATTTATTCAGATCAGTTCTCTTTTTATAGCTCTCAACCAGAAGCACTCTTCAAACTTCTTAGTTACACATGCGTTACATTCTTAATGAATACAGAATCAATAACACAGAAGGTTTTGGTATCTTTGCTATACATGTTTAGTTTCGCAAAATATTGAGGGAAAATACTCTCAGAAAATCCAGGGGCTCTTTTGAGCCTGTTTTAATCTGAGTAGACCACATAAAATGAAGGGCTAGAAAATACATGTAAGTAAGAGGGAGATCTTAACAACTGCAACAGACTTGTAAGTTTCCACCTTTCCTCCTAGTATTTCATTTTACATCTCCTATTGTTGACTTAGTGAACTAAGAGATCAGAAGATAGTGCACAAACCTCATGAGCAGCCAGTTTCAAGTATTTTACCAGCTCGTGTACTTAACTGTTTAAAGCACAAGTACTTACCTATTTCTGAAACCTGTCAATTAGCTACCTGGTGTTAGACTGGGCCCAGATATATAAATCAACAGCTTCAGCACTTAAATTGTCAGAAGTGAAAGCATTTCATTCCCTAGCTAGAAATGACTGACAAAAACATAAGGTGTGAAACACTGAGTTTTAAATATTTATATTGCTACCAAAAAAAAAACAACTCGTGTTTTCAAAATGTTTTACTTTGATACTCAAGAGAAATGTATACTCAAGCTTACAGCAATGCAGATAGTAAAGTGCATAAGCAGTTGACTGTTCAATGATGGATATGGAGTGACTGAGGCAATATTAAATATTACTGGAAAAAGTTGACTGAGAGTTGAGGAAAGAATAAAAGAAATGTGTTATGTCTAAGCTTTTTAAAGGACATATTGTTCTATTCAAGTACAGGCTCATTCAGAAGACTTCGTGGGATGTTTTGTACAACTTTTTTAACTCTGACTTATATTTTGAAATTGGTGCTACACAATCTGTTCATGAAAATTACCAGCTCTGCTCTCAGGAACATAGCACACTTCCAAACTTCTCTTATTTCCCCTTATTAATAACTATAAGGAAGATATAAGAAGTACATTAAGGCTGGCAATCTCCCTATAGAGCACAGGAGTGCAAACTTAAGGCACATAAATTCAAGAGACTTTGAAGTAAGACAGCAAGACTCTTCAGAGAAAAACTGAAGGACTGACCTAGCAATCCTACTGCTATTAAACAGCAGCAGAAGGAAGGACCTGCAGAAGTGAAAGGATCCTGTACTCCCTCAAGCCACCAAGCTGAACACACCATGAAGAAAATCCATCAGCTATGTACCTCTCAAAGCTGAGGAGGGAAGTCAGTTTTAGCAGATGATCACCTCAGTTTGGGATAACTAGTGTCCCTTGGGAAGATAGAGGGACCCAATCAGAAACCAGTAGTGGCTATACTGGGACACAACTTGCTTTGGGTAAACAAATTTGTGATCAGCACAAGTAACTAAAGTCCTGTCCCCACAGACGTAATTTTTAAGCTGTGGAGCCATCCAGTTTGCAGTGTGATAGGTGCTGTCCACACACACACAAGGGACACGTGCCAAGGTCCACAGCATCTCTCCAGGTTTACAGAACCACCTGCATTTAGATGTCACTGATTCAGTAAGTGGAATATTCTAGTTGGGTTCTCCATCCTATTTTAGTCACCCTATAGTGAGCAGCAAGTCAACATCTTCGATGACAGAGAGAAGAATGGCCTTCAACTCAGAAGAGAACATCTGCTACAGCAGGGTAAACCAATCAAAGGAAAAAAAAACACTAAAAATTGTGTAATCATGGTTGACACAAAATTAATACATTTAGATGATCGAATGAAGTTCAGGGCTTTCCCAAATGAAGGAGATAGCTGAACTCTTGATCAGAGCTATTGCTGTAGCTTTTGTAAAGCCAGTGCTTGTTAGCTCCATCTTCAACTTTATTTCGCCATATTCAGTGTATGGTAAAGCTGGTGGTGCAGGAGGAGAGGGATTGCAGTTCCTCGTGCTGAAAGATATCAAGAGCAGTAGCAACAAAACACTATCCAGCAGATATGCAGTGGTGTCTAGGAAACAAGTTGTCACTCTAAGTTCTTACTAGGGAGAATTTTTTTTGTTCACTTTGAAAATGAGTTTGGCAGTCTCAGGGAAACTAGAAAGACTGAACCCTGAGAGTTTTTGGTTCAATTTGTGTTACTGGAAAGAACTACACAGCAGATGTGCTGTCTGCTCCCTGGATAAGTCACAATGTTGGTGTTGACAGATATCAGCTTCAAGATGTTGACAGCAAAGTTGTGCAATGTATCAGCCTAGAACATGACAGTGCATGGCTGGATGTCGATCTGCTTAGCATGTCTTCTTAACCAAAATACAAACTCTAAAAATATTTCTTTTGCTTTATCTTTTACACACACAAAAAGAAAATACATTATTGCTTGCATATATAATATTTGTATTACCAAAACCAATACAAGACAAATCACTTGTATTGTGAGCATCACCAAAGAATACTCAATGATCCAAATGCTCTAAATCAAGTGGTATCGTAAAAGAGCATTTGAAAAGTCAAGGCTTTGCCAGCTGCTTGATTCTTTTTTCTAGTGTCCTAAAAAATCTTTGGCGTCTCCATCCTTCCAATCAATGAACAGAAAAAGAGAAAACACATCCCCTTACACCAATTGAGCTGTGCCAGGAGGGATTATTTACCTATGGTTATAGTGTGCTTGTGGCTAGTTATAAAAGAAAGGCCCTTTGTACATAACAGAGTAAACATAATTTTATCTAGCTCTTTCAGGTTGAGTACTCAGTGTAACTTCAGAAATGATGGGGAAAATAGGTTTATTTTACAGTATCAATTACAAACAACTACAGATCATACCTGATATAAATATTATATTGGTCTAAATTGACAAAAACTCTTTTTCCTCAAAAAGCATCTCCTTGACTATCACAAAAATTAGCATTAAATTAGAATTCAAGTCAAGATTCCTGAGATGTGATACATTCTCAATGTGCTTAGACCCTTCTCTGAACTAAGGCCTCCAACCTGTACTTCAGAATAATGTGAAGAGGATGTGCCTCTTTCTACAGGTTTTTCAACATTGGAAAAGAAACCACAGAGCACCAGAATCACTACCAAAGTACACTGGCATTATATTTCTTACATGAATCGGGTCACTCGTTCCAAAATACCATAAAGCACCTAAGTAGCAAGACAGCATCTACTGCATCATAACAGCTGCTTACAGACTAGAAATAGTTCTACGATTTCATAAAGCTCTTACAAAATAAGATCTTCATATATACTGCAACAGTATTTATAAAAGTATGCACATATACAGCTGCTCTTGATTCAGACCTGATTAAAATTAGAAATTGCATTATAATCTGACTCGGTTTTACAAGACACTTTTGGCCCTGCTTCCCACTCTAGCTGTTCACTGGTGCCTTGTGACTCAGTTCACCTGTTGTCCCATTATCCACCATGTGAACACCACAGTCTCCATGTCACACAACATTTTAAAACTTTGCTAGGAAAATGTAAAAATAACTGTTAGGTATCAAAACATTTGCAACAAATTAACAGCAATATCAAAAACATTTGGTCTATATATACACCCACTAGTACAAGGAGCAAGTCTCTTTGTATTTTACTGATGTCACTGCCTACTTAGATGATCTTTACCTACATGGGAAACATTAAGAAATGCTGAGTTACAATGAGCTGTATTCTGCAGGCACTACAGTACCAAGCCAGGTTAAAAAATATCCAGTGAAGAACATTACATTTACAGAAGCAGTTATGTCCTCAAGAACACACAGGACTTGGAAATGGAAAGTTGTATTCAAGACAGCTTTTTATCAATCTTGCCATTTTTGCAAACTAGTTAGGAAGGGCTTGTTTATTCTCCTTTAACCACAAAGCTATTATTCAATAACTTAATTTTCTAAATGATAAAACCACACAGAAAAGTTTAAACTTCTCCTCATAAATTAAACAAATATTCAAGAAATGTTATATCTAAATGAGGATTAAAGAAATCCAGTGTGAAGCAGCGATTCATATTGTCTGTGCTCTCATTCCTGTCTTTTACAAGCTACTCCTTTTTCTTATTATATACTTAGCAGTATGTTTAGCCCCATCCCAATGGCACAAATGAAAACAGCTAAATTTTCTTTTATTTTCATTAAAGTGCCATATGTACACCAAAAGCTCTAACTGCAGCATGTCGTGGTTTAACCCCAGCAGCAGCCAAGCCCCACGCAGCCTCTCACTCCCCCACCAACGGGATGGGGGAGCAAATCAGAAGGGTAAAAGCTACAAAAACTCATGGGTTGAGATAAAGACAGTTTAATAGAGAAAGCAAAAGCTGCATGCACAAGCAAAGCAAACCAAGGAATTAATTCACTGCTTCCCAAAGACAGGAGGTGTTCAGCCATCTCCAGGAGAGCAGAGCCCCATCACGCGTAACGGTTCCTTGGGAAGACAAATGCCATCACTCCAGATGTCCCCCCTTCCTCCTTCTTCCTCCCACCATATATACTGAGCATGATGTCATATGGTATGGAATATCCCTTTGGTCAGTTTGGGTCACCTGTCCCAGCTGTGTCTCCTCCCAATCTCCCTTGAATCCCCAACTTCCTTGCCATGTGGCAGTATGGAAAGCAGTAAAAGTCTTGACTCTGTGTAAGCTCTGCTCAGCAATAACAAAAACATCTCTGTATTATCAACTCTGTGTTCTGCACAAAACACAAACATAGCCCCACACTAGCCTCTGTGAAGAAAGCCAACTCTACTTCAGCTCAAACCAGCACACAGCAAAACAACACAGACCACAAGTACATGCACTGCTGCTTTGGCAGCACAGACATTTCTCCAGTTCCTTCTCACATTCATTCCTATCCATGGCACATTACCTTTGCTCCACAATGCCAAGCAGCACTGAGGGCATGGTTAAACACCTGATTATCCCCCTATGCTGTATTTACAAAACTAAGATAAACAACAGACACCACCTCA